ATATGTCACAGGCAAAATTAAACTTTAGGCAAAATTAAACTCAGGCAAAATTGATTTTTTTATTAGGCGCATAATTTTAGCTACATTTTTTATTTAGAACGGATTTTTAATTATCATTTTCACTCAGAAATTTCGACAGATAACTTGATTTTTTCATTAAGGAGTGTATCAATAATTTTTTCCCAAATATAAAAGACACGATATATGTTCGAGGTTCAACTAACGGACAGAACCTTTTACCGATAAGAAATTTTTGCAATTGTATTCTTTTAAACCGATTGTATACAAAAAAAATTCGTTTTCTTATTAGAAACTATTCGTGAATTGAATACTTACCACATGATGTCAACTAATTAAGATGGTATCGTATCAGCTGCCCAGTGAAAAATTTTTGCAGCTTTCAAACGGATTTTTCTGCAACCAAATCAAAATTAAAATCGATTGATAATTTTGATTATTTCTGACCACGACTGAGCTATTACTTGACATTGTTATTTATTCAGTGTGAAATTTTCTGATTGAAATTAGATTGTTTTGCAGGAAAATCGAAATTATTAATCGACTGATAACCTTGAATTTGCTACAAAATCATCCGATTTTAATCAGAAAACTCTCCACTGAATAAGTAACAATATCAAGTAATAGTTAAACTGTAATCAACAATAATCAAAGTCATCAATCGATTTTAATTTTGATTTTGTTGCAGACAAATCCGATTGAAAATCATTTTCACCGAGTGTCTGCTGACTATCTTTTTATAAAGAGAAATAAAATAAAACTTATGATTGATGAGGCTATTTTCATGAAAAGAAGAAGAATTAGTATTTAACCATTATTTTTATTATCTTTCACTAAAAAAAATCTACTCATGAATTTTATATTTCATAATTATTTTCTCTATAATGAGGAATGAAATGAAACTGATGATCTATGAGGCTAGTCCTGAGAAAGAAAATTAACATTTAGCTATTTATTTTATTATCTCTAATAAAAAGCCTATTCTTGAATCTTATGTTTGATGATTATTTTTTTATAATGAACAATAAAATGAAACTGAAGGTTTATGAGGCTATTTTCATGAAAGAAAAATAGTACTTAACTATTATTTTTGTTATCTTTAACAAAACTTATTCTCAAATGTTATATTTGATGATTATCTTCTTTTTTTATACTGATAAATAACTGTAGCTGATGATATCTGAGACCATATGTAGGAAAAAAAATATAATATTTAACTATTATTTCTAACATCTTTAATAGAAAATAGTTAAATATGATATTTAACTATTATTTCTAACATCTTTAATAAAAACGTATTTTCAAATTTTATGCGGAATAATTAGACTGATATAATTTTTTCCTTTTTTTCCCTCGTTTTCGGTCGGGCATGGAGCAGAAAATTATTGTGATGGTAAACAAAATTAAAAAACCAATATTTTATATTAATTTGATTTAGTTAATATCATACGGTATCAGCATTTCGATGATTATCTCTTTTGTTTTTATAATACGGGTGAAATTCAAGTGGTGATGTATAATGATATCGCTATGAAAAGAACGATTGATATGTAACTTTTATTGTTATTATGTTTATAAAAAAAACTATTCTCAGTTCAGACCATATCAAAATGCTTAGGCGTTTTTTCTCTTCATCCTCTCCTTTTTTTCCTTGGGCTGACAGAAAGCAGTAAATAATTTAATGATCAATAGAAATGCGAAAGCCAATACTCTGTAAGTTTCATTTCCTTTATATTGTACAATATAATTTGTTTGATCATCTAATCTTTTTTTGCTGCTAAACATACAGTAAAATGAGACCGAGCATTTATTAGATTATTGATATAAAAACGACATTTTACTTTTAGTATTATTAACTTTAACAGTAGAAAAACAAATTAATTTGAAACTATATAATTACTATTTACGGTTTTATATTTTGTAATTTTTCCTTTTTTTTCTTCCTTCTATTCATTTTTTTTTCACTTTTCTTTTACAACAAACTAAGAAAATACTCTGATCGTGAAACAACTTCAATTCAGATTTTCTATAGTAATTTCCCTTTGTTAGCATAAAATGATATAACTTTTTTGATCATTATCTCTTCTTCTAAACAAAATGTGAAATGTTAACAATGATCTATTAAGCTAGTGGCAATACACAATTTCACACTTAACTTTTATTATTCCTATCTTCAAAACATCAAAAACCATTCTCGAAAACCACGATTACTGATTACATTTTCATACTTTATTATCTTTTCCTTCTTCTCTTCTCTTCTTCCCCCCTGATTTCCCCTTTTTTGGTCGGACAATAGTTATAAAATAATTTTCATGCTAGAGAAACTTAAAACTTAATCTTCTACAGTTACATGACCTACTATCATGTACTATCGACTGTTTGACAATTATTTGCTTTTCCAAAATGGGTCTGAAATATAACCCATCATCAATACAGTTACTAAAAAGACAAAATTATTGATATTACACTATTATTCTTATCTTTATTACAGACAATAGTTTGTTATCCAAGTGCACACCTGTTTGTGATATTTATTAATCTATCACCCTTTCCCTCAGCTACTTCCATCATCGAATTCACAGTAAATCTTTACGTCTTAAAGAAGTAACGAGAAATACTAACATTTATTCAGATGGGATGATTTCAACAAATTTTCCCAATGATGAAAATAACAAAAGAGAAACAGCTAAGGCACCGACTGCGACAGAACTATCCGCTCATGAAATTCTCAAAGTGCAATAAACACAAGGTTATCACTTCAAGTGTTGAAAACCACTCTATAGTGTCCACGTTTCAGCTTCAGATCATCAGACTTCAATAACAATCATCAAATCCCATATCTTCCCCAACGTAATAACCTTTTGAAAAGAAAAAGGTTACTGAACTCTGCATCTTCCAAAACTATATACTATTTTCAATAGAAAAAACTAGCGAACTCTACATCTTCCAAAACTATATACTATTTTCAATAGAAAAAGCTAGCGAACTCTACATCTTCCTAAACTATATACTATTTTCAATAGAAAAAGCTAGCGAACTCTACATCTTCCAAAACTATATACTATTTTCAATAGGAAAAGCTAGCGAACTCTACATCTTCCTAAACTATGTACTATTTTCAATAGAAAAAACTAGCGAACTCTACATCTTCCAAAACTGTATACTATTTTCAATAGGAAAAGCTAGCGAACTCTACATCTTCCTAAACTATATACTATTTTCAATAGAAAAAGCTAGCGAACTCTACATCTTCCAAAACTATATACTATTTTCAATAGGAAAAGCTAGCGAACTCTACATCTTCCTAAACTATGTACTATTTTCAATAGAAAAAGCTAGCGAACTCTACATCTTTTAAAAGTTTATGCTTTTTCGACAGAAAATAGAAATGAACTCTTTGTCTCTCTGAACTAAATTATAATTTGAATTAAAAAAATTCACGGATTTCGTGTTTGAAGTTTATTGTGTACTTTTAAATTAAATTGATAAGATTTGAAATATCACTAGTTTGATTCAATCGCTAATGACATGAATTTCAATTTAGATGAAGAGTTTTAATTTTCCAAATCTAAGTTTAATTTTGCCTAAATCTCAATTTTGCCTGACACACTAATATAAAACAAAAAACCTGAGGAAATATGGGAAAACTCGAAAAATTCAAAGAAACTCAAAAATCCCTAAATCCGCTTTTACACCCTTGGAATATGATTAACTATTTTTTAGCACATACGATTCTTAACCTTTCTTGAGATAGACATACCTAAGAAGACTCAATACATGACAGCGAAAGCTGACGAAAATCCTAGTATGAATGAACACAAAAACTAGAAGACATTGAACGTTTTGCGACCTCTTTTACATACACTTTGACGAGAGGACTGGTCAAAAGTCTTCAAGAATGCCACTGTTGTGAATGAGAGAGGACAATTGACTTAATCAAGCCAATGTATCTCGTGAAGATAGAGCCTTGCCTTGCAATAGAAAATACGATATTCAAATGATAGGCAAGGAATAAAAAGTTTAAAAGTTCGAAAAAAAGCTGTTAGCGCAATTCCTTACGGGATTACAAATGTGAAACATGATGTAGTTGCTATAGCCGATGTTCTAAAAGTTGTTGTTTTTTATGCATATTGGAATACATTCCTTCCTAATGGTTTACCTTACATTATACACTTTGAATCGGATAATATTCCATATATGCTCCAATCATATGTTAGTTATACATTATCTCTGATATTTGCTTGAAGTCTTCTTCAGTTTATAATGACCCCTGGGCCCTATGTATCATGCCCTATGACGTGCCCAGAGACCTGTCTGTGACGGGTCCGGAGACCTGTCTGTGACACGCCCAAAGTCTGTCTGTCACGGTGTGTGATGGGTCCAGAACCTTGCCTGTCACGGTCTGTGGGGGAGATGCAAATTTCTACCCCTAAACACTTCAACACTCCTTTCAGATCGTGTTTCACAACATCTCAAAAATCTAAAAAAATCCGAAAAAATCCCAAATAATCCCAAATAATCCCAAATAATCCCAAATAATCCCA